ATGGTTGGGCCAATCCCTCAAGAAGGAACTGATTGGCAGGAAGGTTCACTGTGGATAAGAACAACATGGTGATGAATTAAGGGGTGCTAAGGGTTGTTAGTTCATGTAGACAGTGGGGGGGGGCTACTCTGCTCCAGGGCACTGAGCAGTGTGCTAGAACCAGAGCTCTGGGGCAGGGCAGTGGTCCGAGCAGCCTGCCCAGCGCTCGCACATGTATAGGAGCCCGTACACACTGCTGGTGGGAATGCAAATTAGGCAGCCACAGAAATCAATATGGAAGTTCCTCAGAAAACAAAAACAAGTAAAAATAGAGCTGCGTATGATGCTGTGATCTGCTATCCCAGGCCTGGGGAGTACAGCCTAGGCATCCAGGTTAGCACATCCTGGGTCAGCACAGAGGGACCTCCTGTGCATCCGTGTTTGCTGTGTACCATCCAGAGTAGCCATGATGTTTGTGATCAGATTAATAGATAAGGAACGTGTCATGCCTATTGTGTATAATATTATGTAGTAGTGAGTTTTATTCATTTACAAAGTAGGAGCAAATGATGTCACTTGCAAGAAAATGGGTGGAACTGGAGATCCCTCTATTAAGCAAAATAATAATAATTTGTCCAGAAAGACAAATAGAGTGTGTTTTCCAGTGTATGTGGCATTCAGATTTAAAAACATAACATAAATGTAGAAGCAAGCCTACATGGGGAGAGGAGGAGAGCAGGTTGGTGGCGAAAAGAAGGGAGGACAAGACAGTAATGATGGGTGAAGTACTTGCATGTATGAAAACTGCATAACGAAACGGAAACTCCGTATTTTGCTGGGACTTGAACCCAGGGCCTTGAGCATGTTGAGCATGTACTCCGTACTCTAAGTTTTTTCTGTTCCGTCAGTGGAAGCTATATAATAAAGATTCTGAAACAGACGATTACCTTTATTCAAATTTTGATGGTTGCAGAACTCATAATTCTATTTAAATATTCATGTGTTTGGCAGTAGACACACACATTGCAGAAAACAAAGTTTCTGAAATAAAAAGGTGTCTGGAAAAATGTAGTAACAGTACCAAAGCTGCTTTTGCCTTGCTGTGGGAAAGCAGGAGATTGTCAGTGAAGAAATGACTCTCTGAAGTCTCCGCCGGAGAGGAGGGGTGATAGTAGGTGGGGTGGGATTCACTTGTGGAGTCGCTGAGCAAGAAGCTGCGCCAAGTACGCACTGCCCTCGCATGTTTCCTCATGGGCTGGGTCCTCGCCGTCTTGTGTCCTAACCTTTTATTTCTTTCTTATTTCTTGTTGTTTAAGCCTCCTCTCCTCCCCCTCCCCCTGCCCCATACTTTTCCCCTCCCTGCCCCACCCTTGTCCATTTTGATCTCCATTTCTGGACAGATTGTTGATTATTTTCCCAATTCTAATGAAAGCAAACCCCAGATTCACCCACGTGTTTATCTAAGAAGTCCCAATTTCCTGGTATCTTTTGTTGTTAGTTTGGTTTCCTTTTATGTTGTACTAGTCATAAAGTTGGGGGAGAGACACTTTTATTTTCTTAGTCCAGACTCCTTAATAATATAAAGCACTGCTGTAGATGGGTGAGCCAAGCATTTAATCAGTTAGCATCCACCTCTTTCTTGGGGCTTGTCTGATGGAAGAATCATCCTTACCAGTTCCAGTTCCTCCAAGCGCCCCTTGGAGAAGAGACGGGTTAGTTCAATGAAGGCCTGGGCAGAGGCTGGGGCAGATGCATATCCACAGGTAAAAGTGCTGTCCCTGTGCGGTTGAGCTTTATAAGACTGCGGACCCCAGGACGTGTTGGTGGATTATAAAGGCCTGAAGGATGCTGCTTGCTCCCGCTTTGGAAACTCCTCAGGTCTGTGACTGATAATTTCATTTCACACATCTTTAGTTTTATTGCTTTTTAGCCATGCCTGGAAACCTCACTGAAAAACTCTTATCCTGTCGTCAGAATCGTCAACCATCCTGTTAAATAAATGGATTGTGATGTGTGGTATAGGCTTCTGAATAGCAGAGAACAGAACCATGTCCCATTTTCTCCCTTGGCCCCTTCTTCACAGTATGTGCCTTAGAATTATTCTACTGTGGTATCTATTTTGATATATATAGGAGCTGGGAGGCAGTATTTTAAAAAGTTTTATTTCATCTAAATCCATTCTTTTTTTTAAAAATTAGTTTTATTTCATGTGTGTAAGTATCTGCCAGCATGCGTGTATATGCACCAGCTGCATGCCGAGTGCTTGCAGCGGGCAGAAGAGGTGTAAGAGGCCCTGGGGCTAGAGCTGCCATGCCTGGTCCAGATGGGAACTGAACCCACATCCGCAGAAAGCCGAAACCAAGGTGTTTTCAGGGCCTTGCCCTCTCAGTGGCTTTGGTGGAGGGGCTTTATTGTCCCTTTCTTGGCTCTCTGGATGCTTCTGGTCATTCATGGTCCTTTCTATCCGTGGATTTAAGAGTTAGTAGATTTCTGACCTACTGTCACATGATATTCCCCGTGTCTGTCTTTCCTTATCACAAGGGTGACAATAAAAGGGTTATGGCCCATCTTATTGTAATATACTCTTTCCCGAACTTTATTTTTAAATAAGGTCACATCCTGGGCTCTGGCCCAACATGATCGTTGAGAGGGCGCTGTTTGATGCATCGTGACGTCTACTGTCGGCATTGGGCTTATTCAAAGAGCACCGCCCGTCCCTGTCATAGTGTACTTTGGGCACTCAAATAGCCCGTGAAGGAAAAAAAAACTACCAGAAATTTCAAGATTTGTTTGAGGGAATAATTGCGCTTTATCATTTCTGAACACACACACACCTGAACCTCTGCCTTGCTAAACAAGTGAGTGAAATGCAAGGTGCACAGCACTCTTATAAACTGAAATTAATTACCCGATAGGTGTGTGTGTGTGTGTAGCTGTATTTGTTTAGCTTTGATTTTTCTAAAAAACGCTAGACACCGTAGAGTCTTCCTATTTCTTTCTCAAGGTGGGCTGTCAATCCTGCTATCTGGAAGGAATGATTGGGTAGTTCCTTGTCCCTTGTCCCATGGACAGCATCTCCCGTGACAGGTTATTTAGCATGCAGGAATGACTAGTATGAAAATATTCAAAACAGAGTGTCGCCAGGCTTTTATCAATGAAATAGCTTCTTATGAAATGCAAAACAGCCACTTTGAGTGGCAACTACCTAATTTATTCTGAGAAATACTTCTTCTTTGCCTGAGTGCTGCAGTGCTAAGGGTGGGTAGTGGTACCATCTCCCCTCAGTGAGCGCTCTGATCCAGAAGATTCACTGCTGTGTAGACAGGCATTTCCTGGAAGGGTGGGTAGGTAGCCTAGGAGAAGGCATGGCTTTCTTCTCTGTCCTGCAGCCAGCTGATTACTTTCCTGACATCAGTTTGTTGCCAGAGCAACGGTGGTGGTAACACAGATTTAGCAATGTGACTTCATAATAAAGCTGCCGTTTATTTTCCTTACACAGTGGGTAGTCAGGAGCCACTATAAAAGGAAAAGCCATCTTGTTTGAGTACACAGCAAGTGATTTAGAAAGGGGAAGATAAACTTCATAATCATCTCTGGGAGGAAATGGTATCTTCCTGCAGTAATTTTTAATTGAACTTGTGAAGTGGGACATCATAATTTTGGAAATGCAGTTCCTGACAAGGCTCCTGACTCGCACTGAATGGAGCACGCAGTGAGTGCAGCTATTGCCGATAAAGATGTGCTTGGAATTCATCCAGCATTGGCTAAGTCTCGTGTAGGGAACTTCAAGATCAACAACAAGCTCCCAAAGACACAGTTTGATTGACAGGGATGTCAGAGTGAGGGATCTCTCCACTGTTTGTGTTTAACTAGGGAGTGTCCTGACTGGTCACTGTTTATTAGACTAGAATGTGGCAACCCCATGAAGCAATATTTGCACTGCTTTTGTTAAAACCTACTTTTGTTTTAGAACAAGTTGGGATTTATAGACAAACCGGAGCAATACAATTCCCACGCAATCCATACCTGATTTTCCCTGATAATAAAATCTCACAGTGGTACACTCGTTACGATTAACGAGCCAGCACCCATCCCTAACTGTACTGTTAACTACAGCTCACACGTTTCTGGGGCTTCTTTAGTTTTCATCTGGTTTCATTTCACTTTCTGAGATCCCAGCGAGCACACAGCAAGTGATTTACAAAAGGGGAGATAAACTTCGTAATCGTCTCCGGGAGAAAACGGTATCTTTTACCTTACGTTTAAGGTGCCGCGTCTCTGGATGGTGCCACAGACCTCCGTGACCATGGCCGACCTTGGCTGTCTATGAAGTGCACTGCAGGATGCCCGGCTGTAGGGTGAGGCTTTGGTCTGATTCTGCTGGGTTTGCATGGCTGTCTGGAGGAGGCCCTCGCGATTAAAATGCTGTTCTCATCACTCCCCAGAGTGTATGTTATGCACATGATTTTGCCCTTAAACTTAACCTTGGTTGCCTGCTGGGTACTGTTGGTCACCTGTCACGCTGCAGTACTGGATCGCCACCTTCCCCTTTCCACAGCGGATCTTTGGGAAGAATGCGCAGCTCGCAGTTAAGGAGTGTAAGGGGCCTACTCCCCACATGCAACACCTACATAGTTTTAAAATCCTCTGCGCCGAGACGTGTCTCATTCGTATTCCCTTAATCATTTTTTTTTCCGAGACAGGGTTTCTCCGTAGCTTTTTGGTTCCTGTCCTGGAACTAGCTCTTCTAGACCAGACTGGCCTCAAACTCACAGAGATCTGCCTGCCTCTGCCTCCCGAGTGCTGGGATTAAAGGCGTGCGCCACCACCACCCGGCTCAATCATTTTTTTTTATATTAGCATGGACTCTGGGGTGTATAAACCAATATTACTTTATGATTTTTTACTTTAAAATTTTCGCTCAACTCGACCGTGCTTTGGTCACTGAGAACCATTTCCGGCAGCTTCTGAATCCCTGTGTACGGTTTTTAGGTCAGCCAGAGACAACTGAAATCATGGCTACGGCTCTTCCGGTCTTCATGGAATAACTATATGAAACAGTTTTTGAGAGAAGCATGAATTATTTGGCTAAAGAGGTAGGAGGTAAGACAGCCAAGCAGTGATGTCAATTTATGTTCTTATTTTCATTTTTATCTTAGCTTTCAGTTAATTCTTGCTGTCTCAAAAAAATGGATTTAGGTTTTTATGATTTATGTTAATATATTCGACAATTGTTTCATGGAGCTGTGGACGGTAAAATCCCCTGTCTTAGTTAGGGTTGCTATTGCTGTGATGAAACACTGTGCTCAAAAGCAAGTTGGGAAGGAAAGTGGTTGTCTGGCTTACACAACACTGTCCGTCATTGAGGGGAGTCAGGACAGGAACTCAGACAGGGCAGGAACCTGGAGGCAGGAGCTGGTGCAGAGGCCATGGAGGGGAGCTGCTTCCTGGTTTCCCTTCTTATAGAGACCAGGGCCACCTGCCCAGGGATAGCCCCACACACCATGGACGGGGTTCTGCCCCATTGATTGCTAATTGAAAAAATGCCTTACAGTTGGCTCTCATGAAGGTATTTTCTCACATGAGGTTCCCTCTTTTCAGATAACTCTAGTTTGTGTCCAGTTAACACAGAACTATCCAGGACATCCTCCCTGCCCCGTTTTCTCCACTCCCTTCTGACATTTTTTTTAACAGATGAAAGTATCCCACCAAACAGGCGGTCTCTTCTTTGAAGAGGAGGAATATGCAATCTTTTCTGTTCTGTCTTCTTTCTTTTTCACATTCTTCTTTTGCGTTATTCAGTTTCTGTCACTAGAGCAAGCACCAAGGCAATAAACTCATAAATACAAAAATACTGCCTTTGGACCTGTGGCAAGACAGCACAACCCAGCAGGGGCAGGCGGTTCAACAAAATCAACAACCTCATGCCCAGGCAACAGAGGGGAGAATGAGGGTGATGTACCAAAGTCCCCTTTCAGGGCCTGTCCCAATGTCCTTACTGAAGCTGCTCCACATCCCATTAGAGACAGTCTGGGAGGCAAGCGCATAGACTCTTTGCAGAGCAGTTAAGGTCCAAACTCTAGCGCTCCCCGCCCCCATCTTGCTCACATGGTCACATGCCCTGCTAGAGCAGACTGTATGGTATTCTCTTACCTGCTGCCTTTTATGGATACTGCCCCAGGAAGCAAGGCGGAGCTCTTTGCAACCTGTCCGCACATAGGGAAACACAGAGGTGCGGCGTTTGTGAACTTTTCTATCTCGGAGGCAACACTACAGTGGGGCCATCTGATGATGCAGAGCTCAGTGTTTTAAGGGCGTCATGATTTTAAAACACTTGTCACTATGTTTTACTGGATCCCGGGGCTCCAGTTCAGAATATAAGTACCACCCAAACCCGTAAAATGTGTGAAAATAAAAGGAAGTGAGAGCTAAGCGATGTTCTCTGGTTACTTTGTTCTTCTGTGTAACACTGATATATCCCACGCCACTGACTTAGTATTCAGTATTCACAATGATCTTTTAACATGAAATTTTTTATTAGCTTGGATCTTTAATCCATCTCACTAGAAAGCTTTTGCCAACTTCTTGTATATGATATTGTTTTATTTCTTTATCTTTTTACTGCCAGTGGGGAGGCATAGAGCACAGCTCAACTGAGTAACACCATCACTGATGTGGGAGTGTCATATCAATCTATTGATTTCATTGGTTAAGCAATAAAGAAACTGCTTGGCCCTGATAGGTTAAAACATAGGTGGGCGGAGTAAACAGAACAGAATGCTGGGAGGCAGAGGAAGTGAGCTCAGAGACGCCATGCTCCTCTCTCCTGAGCAGACGCATGCGATGAAGCTCCGACCCGGGATGGATGTAGGCTAAAATCTTTCCCGGTAAGACTGATGCTACACAGTTTATTAGAGATGGGTTGATCAGGATATCAGAATTAGCCAGTAAGGGCTAAAGTTAATGGGCCATGCAGTGTTTAAAAGAATACAATTTGTGTGTTGTTATTTCGGGTCATAAGCTAGCCAGGTGGCTGGGATGCTGGGGACGCAGCCCCGCCGCTCCTATTACAACACATCATGTTGTTTAGTAAAAATGGGGATAAAAGGCCGAGACTGGTATTAGCTGTGCTGGTTTACCTGGTTTACTGCCTTACCCAGTTGACTTCTTCAGGTGAACTGAGCTCTGAGCTCACCCAGCGCTGCTTCAGTTCTGTGTGATATGGAGAGCTCTGCTTTTCCTGAAAGACCCATGGGCATTCTCCCTCCCTTTTCTCCACTCAGTGATGACGGCTGACAGAGTGGGTTGGGATAAGAACGCCCAGGATGAGATAGTTTCTATCCTGAAATGACTCTTGTTCACAAAAAGTAATTCTAATGTAGCGTTATTTTTATTTCTCATTGGCTGGCGACAGGAATAACATATTCCCGGTCTCTCTGTTGGGCCCAGGAAAAGTCACAGAGCACCGGGAAGGCATGAGAGACAAGTGATCTCTATAACAAGGTTAGGTTTCAACTTCACTATCAGCATTTTTAGTACTGAGCTCACAAGCACGGAGGGAGAAGTGGAGACAGAGGATTCAGCGTGAACGCCCGGATCACCATGTGTTACACACACACATTCGTAACTGAGCAGAGCAAAATCTTTTTGTTTTTATGTTTGGCACGTGAAGAGGAAACCCCCATTTCTGGCTGGAATGATGTTCTAGAAGTGTTTTCTAAAACTCAGATGGAATTTACACGCTTCCATAGGTATAGCCTGCTAAACCTATATATGTGAATTTGGAGGGATTTTTTTTTTAGCCCCAATTCTGTGGATTTTAGAATAGTTGTTCCAAACTGTACCTTTTTACACTAGTTTGTTAAAAACAATAATCATGGGAAAAGTACCAATAAAATGATAGGGCTATTTTTAGGTTTCTCTCTGTGTGGCGCATTTGCTTCTGAAAACAAACATGTGTTCATGCCCTCTGCTGCATTTCAGGGAAAGACATGACCAGGGCGTTTGCAAAGATGAAACTGAGCAGAGCTTACTAGAATTGATGAAACACCCATGTTGATAAGTGCCTCATCGTTGCTTCTAACTTTCAAACAAGGAAAACAAACAAACAAACAAACAAACAAAAACCAAGAAAATCAATCACAACACCACCGTGGTGGCATCCTGAGACAGAGACGGCGCTGTCTCTCTCTGCATTTGAGAGCTACAACCTGGACTGAACCATGGGTTTTAGCACAGCGAGGCTGAAGACTGTCCCTAACACCCCAAACTGTCTGTTCACTGACTGAAATACCCCACATATAGGAGACTATGCATGGTGGTCACTTCCCGGAGGGTCTGCTGTTGTTGGAATGTAAAGTTCAGAATGGAAGTGTGTGACATTAGGTTTTCTTAATTTTGAGAACAGGGATTGGAGAAATGTTTTTTTTCCCTTCATACTTGCATAGATTTCCTATAGTGCATTGTGCTTAGTAGCTATTTTTTAAACCTTTTTTTTTTTTGTGGAATTGAATTATTGACCTAGGAATTGGGATGGGAAAACTATTTCCAACTGAGTATCCATTTATCCAGTTATTTAATCCTTCGGTAGGTAACACCTTGTGACGACTATATGCTGGTACTGAATTTTTCTTCAGGGCTCTATTGGTGAGCAAACACAGATAAAGGCCCCAGCTCTCACAGGATAGAGGCTGATTGAAGTTAGCTGGAAAAATAACATCCAAAATATTAATATTAGACAGCCGGGTGAATTCATAAACCAACTATTAAGATTTAAAGCAATAGCCTTCCAATTGATTTTATTATCTAGGTGACATGTGACTACTGCTACAAATTATGCAAACAGCTTGTCAGATCCTTCCCATGAATTCTCACTCGGTGGTAGATTTTTAGATAGTGTTGCTGGGATGATTTGGGGAGGTGTCAGTAACTATGGCGTCCTTCTCTGGCTCACATCAAAATTCCCAGTGATTTCCTGATCAAGTCTGCCTGCGTAGCTGGAGGTGGATGGCATGCTGCTCTTGGGTCAGGGACAGATGTGTACCGGGACACCAGCGCTTTCCTTCTGGGCAGGCACTGGTTCTCTGCTCACATCATTTGTGACAGTGTGGCCTGCTTGCCACCAACACCCTCGCCTGCCTGTGTCATGCCGGTCCGAGGCAGTGGCAGCCACAGCATGCTTCCTCCTAGGCATCCTAGGTGTGCACATGAGTGGGGGCAGAGGAAACACCTTTAGCAACATGATCTGCATTCCCAGATCCTTCTGCCACAAGAACAGCTTTAGTGACTCTTGTAAGATAGCGTGTGTGGAACGTCATGACTGATCGAAAGGAAAGAGTGATTTGTCGAGCGCAGAGTCAATCTGTTCTGTACTTACAGAGTATTGTTAATATTACTCCATTACTGGAGCTGTGATTCTTTATATTTATAATGTCAGGGAGTCCCCAGAACCCCATGTTAGGTCGAAGTGACTCAGATGACTACAGTCTATTCTGAAGAATTTTGTAACCTCATTCTTGTGACATTTGAAATACTTTCTCTCTCTCTCTCTCTCTCTCTCTCTCTCTCTCTCTCTCTCTCTCTCTCTCTCTCTCTTTTTTCCTGCCTTGACTAAAAGCATTGCATGGGCAAACATTGTGTCTTGACTAATGGTCCCCAAGAGTTAAGAACTGAAGTCTGACATTGTTAGGCGGGTTCATTTTTAATTGGTCATGCCCAACTTAGTAAAGAACCGGCTAGGGTTGCACCCCATGCAGCGACAAATGGCCTCACGGGGGTCTCAGTCATGTGAGTGCTGGAAATCCCTGTATCCCCTAATTGTGATACTACCACAATTTTAATTTTTGTACAGTGTTGAAGTATTAGAATATACAAAACATAAATTATATAATCAAAGCAAAAATAGAATGAAGGATAATGACCAGCAAAAAAAAAAAGTCTTCAGTTTGGGTCAATAGTTTTGTTGTTTTTTTACATATTGTCAACAGATGTTTCTCTTTCAAACATTACTTTCTCTTTTAATATATTTACTGAAAATGAATTTCATACTTATAACTTTATAAAACATGTCTCACTTTTCTTATCTATACAGTTTTCCTTTTTAT